CCGCTAGTACCACGATAGATCGAATGTCACAATTGGCTATTCTTATCACGTTACGTTGCAAGACAAGAACGGAACACAATTCAAACGGTAGATTCGGCCTTATTGGGATAAGCACAAGAGCAAACAAGTCGCTTTAATTTCAACCACGTTCCATAAAGTCTTGTAGGGAACACAAAAGGGTGATTTGCTGTGACTCGCAACAACTTCAACTTCTTCCGTGGAAAACGAGTTCAACTGTGATACCAGACGCGGAAAGAAAGGTTAGTGACGATTAGTACAATTAGGCATAGTTAGAAAAACGATCTCAGTGACATCTATACTGTAGGTACAGAAACTCTTTCACCGAGAAACATATTTAAGTAATTGCTATTTAAACAATTTTAAGTTTCTTGCTAAACTGTAGCACGATTTACGAAATCGTGGAATAGTGTTACTTCTAAGCCGTTGTTGCGTGACGACGCGTGAAAGACAACGGAAGTGCGAGTCTTAAAGATTAAAAATCCGAGAATGGTCTGACATAATGTTTGTCCAGCTCGAATTGCCGAGACTGTTTATGGCGGAGATTTGTACATTAGCCTAAAGTTTTCAAAGGCTTTCGATTGACCCTCTTCCATAGCCGGACGGAGTAACTTATCGTTTTGAACTGCGGTGGTTAAACGACTTCTTACCTTAGGTTTTGCGCTAGTGATGATGACCAAGGTTTAATATATCTTCATTAAGCTTGATGTAAGTTTCCATTTTGTAGGGATATTAGTATTAGATAACTTTGGAACTGCGGAGTTGCTTCTGAAGTTTAAAATTTGATTGGGGTATTCTGAAATTTATCCCCACATATTTTTGACACTGGACTTGAGTAGTTTTATCACGTTTTGTGGATGAAATTTTTGTGGTTGGTTTTATTTGCGCATCACTGAGAAAACCGCAAAAATTGGAACCCGCAAAGGAAGATTCTCGCATCACAACTCAATGCGTTTGGATTGCTGGTTTGCACGTGACGTCAGGGCGGCCAAGTTGGAGGTCAAGAACAAAAGCTTTCCTCTCCTCTGGGAACTAAACTCTATTTTCATGTAAATTCTTCTAGAAAAAATTATATTGTATTGACCCCAACATGGCCGCCTTGACACGTCGCTGCAAGCCGAAGAATAGAGAAATAAAATCAGAGATACGTCCCTGACGCCTCTTTTTCAAATAGCTAAACCAAACCAGTTTACAAGAGACAGACATCGTTTAATTTTAGAAAAATAACAATTACGGTGGTTATTAGCTTGAATCAGATCCTGGATT